AGAGGAGACGCGGGCCACCGTCTCTTCAAAACGAGGACCCAACACCACAGGATGGTTGGGAAAAAACATCCAGAAACGATGCCCACAGGACTTGCCTCGATCAGGGAAGTAAGCAGCACGCAGAGGAGCCCCTTGGAGCGTTGCGGGGGCTTCTTGGCGGACCCGGAGGCCTCTTGGAGGGTCTCGGGTGTTTCGGGGAGTTTCTTGGGGCCTCTTGGGGGTCTCTTGGGAGCCTCTTGGGGGCCTCTTGGGCGCCTCGTGGGGCCCTCTTGAAGCGCTGTTGGGAGCCTTGGGAGCGCTTTTGGGGCCATCTTGGAGGACATCGATCAAACAAAAGGGGAGCTTTATTTAGCGCTGCCCCCCCAAGAGGCCAAAATGGGGCCAAAATCTTCGTAAAACAAATGATTATGGTTTCCTCGCCGAGGCCGTTTCGGACGCTCCAACGCGTCGCGCCCCCCCCCCGTCCAGGTCCAGGGGAGGGGGGTAGGGGGAAGGGTCAAGCTACCCACCCGCCCGCAAGCCGTCTAGCTCACTCCCACCCGCCCTCCCAACACATAAGTAACACCCGAGCCTGAACATGTTCGGCGGTCGTTTTTGGATATAGGGGTTGGGGTTAGAGTCAGGGGTTACGGTTAAGGGTTCGGTGTTAGGGTTAAGATCCAGGCTAGCCGCATCCTATCTTTAACGCACCCCCTCCTACCTTGGAACCCACCTGCGGTGGCTGTCGTTCCCACCCGCAAACCACCCAACCATAAAGACCACCCCCCAGCCCCCCCATTTAGCACTACAGCGAGTACCGACACATTACACCATACGTCTGGGCTACGCCATGCTACGCTATGCGATGACATGCTATGCTATGCTATGCTACACCAGGAGTTCCCCAACTTTAGGGGAACCAACAGCACATCATACGCATAGGCTAGGCTATGTTATGCTATGATGTGTTATGATATGCTATGCTACACGGTGCTTTGCTATGAAATGCTATGCTATGCTACATCATGAGTTCCCCATGGGGAACCAACAGTACATCATACGATGGTCTGTGTTATGATATGCTCTGCTATGCCATGCAATGCATTAGTGCTGGGTCACCACGTTTCAGTGACCCAGACCGCCTGCGAGCGTCTGGGAGCGCCTGGGAGCGCCTGGGAGCACCTGGGAGCGCCTGGGAGCGCCCGGGAGCGCCTGGGCGCCTGGGAGCGTCAAGAATGTCTGGGAGCGCTTAGGAGCGCTTGGGAGCGCTTGAGAGCGCCTGGGAGCGTGTGGGAGCGCCTGGGAGCACCTGAGGGCGCCTGGGAGCGCCTGGGCGCCTGAAGCGCCAAGAAGTGTCTGGGAGCGCCTAGGAGCGCTTGGGCGCGCTTGGGAGCGCCTGGGAACGCCTGGGAGCGTATGGGTGCGCCTTGGAGCGCCTGGGAGCACCTGGGAGCGCCTGAGAGCGCCAGGACTTGGGAGCGCCTGGGAGCGCCAAGGAGTGTCTGGGAGCACCCAGGGGCGCTTGGGAGCGATTGGGAGCGCCCGGGAGCGCCTGGAGCGTCTGGTTTACACCACGCACGCATGATCAGGATATAGTATTTTTGCATAGGATGGAGGGGGTGAGCGCGAAGCATGATCAGGATATAGTATTTGTTTGCATGGGATGGAGGGGAGGAGCGCGGAGAATGATCAGGATATAGTATTTGTTGCAAGGGATGGTGAGGGTTTACATGGCAGCGTCGTATGAAGTTGCATGAGGGCCGGATTTACGGGCTTAGGGTTTAATGATTATAGGATTAGAGATTTAGGGTAGGGGACAGGGTTAAGGTCAGGGTTAGGATTAGAGGTTCGGGTTAGAATTTAGGGTTAGGGTTAAAGCTAGGGGGTAAGGGTTAGGGTTCGGTTAGGGGTTCGGGGTTGGGATTATTAGGGTTAGGATTAGGGTTCGGATCAGGGTTCGTGGCCAGGGTTAGGGGCTAGGGTCAGGGATTAGGCTTAGGGTAAAGGGCAAGGGTTTGGGTTAGCGTTTCGGGTTAGGGGTTAGGGGTTAGGGTAGGGGTTTGGGTTGGGGTAAGGACTAGGGGTAGGGTTGACTACCCTGCACCGCGCTTGACCACCTCCACTGCTCGCGCAAACATCCCACCCACCCACCCGCAACTTGGTGTGCAAAATCTCTTAAGACCGTGACGATGGGTACCGAATTGCACTTGGCAACGACAGCGACGCCGACGACGACAGCGACAACGACGACGACGACGCCGCCGACAACGACTACGACGACACCGACGACGTCTCCAACGACTTCGACGACGCCGACACGACGACGACGACGACGACGACGACGACGACGACGACGACGACGACGACGACGACGACGACGACGACGCCGACGACGAGACGACGACGACGACGACGACGACGACGATGACGACGCCGACGACGACGACAACACGACACCGACGACGACGACGACGACGACGTCAACGACGCCGACGACGACGACGACGACGACGACGCGGCGACGACGACGACGCCGACGTCGACGACGACGAAGACGACGCCGACGACGACGACGAAGACGACGACGACGCCGCCAACGAAGACGACGACGAGGGAGGAGGGAAGACGACGACGGCGACAACGACGACAAAGACGACAACGACGAGGGAGGAGGGAGGACGGCGACGACGCGAACGACGAAGAAGAAGGAAGGACGGCGACGCCGACGACGACAACGACGAGGGAGGAGGGAAGACGACGACGAAGACAACGACGACGACGACGACGACGACGACGACGGCGACGAAATAGGAGGGACGACGACGAGACGCCGACGACGGACGAAGACGACGACGACGAGGGAGGAGGAGGAAGGACGACCACGGCGACAACGACGACGGAAACGACCACGACGCCAAAGAGGACGACGACGAACACGAGGAAAGACAGAGGACGACGTAGGCGACGACGACGACGACGCGGAAGGAGGGAGGACGGCGACGACGACGACGACGATGACGACGACGCAAGAGCGCGCGCGCACGCTTTTGTTGAAAATCCGGTTTGCGAAACCTTGTGTTTTTGTAGTTTTTGGGGACACACGATTTTGAAATCTTTCCGAAACCGATGGGTTTTGAAGGATTTCGGCATACGCGCGCGACGACGCGCGCGTCTGCACTTCGTCCCGTTGTTTGCAGAGGATTCTCGCGACGGCACACGCAAAAGTGCGTTCGACAGATTTCGACATGCGCGCGCGCGAAGCCCGTTTGGTAGCATTTCGTGAAAACCTTGAGAGAGAGAGAGAGAGAGAGAGAAAACAAAAAAAAAAGCCTGGCGAAGGACCCAACCATATGCAGTTGTGAGTAATGCTGGTGTGAGTACCGTTTTCGGTGGATCTCCCTATGGGGCCACGAACCGTTTGAGGGGTGTGCCGAAATGGGTGTGGGGGCGGCATGCGAACGTTGCCACTGGGGCCTTCGGTGGAGCTCCTTATGGGGCCACGAAACGTGTGAGGGGTGCACCGAAGTTGGTGTGGGGGCGGCATGCGAACGCAGCCACTGGGGCCTTCGGTGGAGCTCCCTGTGGGGCCACGAAACGTGTGAGGGGTGTGCCGAAATTGGTGTGGGGGCGGCATGCGAACGCAGCCACTGGGGCCTTCGGTGGAGCTCCCGATGGTGCCACGAAACGTGTGAGGGGTGTGCCGAAATGGGTGTGGGGGCGCATGCGAACCCAGTCACTGGGGCCTTCAGTGGAAATCCCCATGGGGCCACGAAACGTGTGAGGGGTGTGCCGAAATGGGTGTTGGGGAGGCATACGAACCAGGCCACTGGGGCCTTCGGTGGAGCTCCCTATGGGGCCACGAAACGTGTGAGGGGTGTGCCGAAATGGGTGGTGGGGAGGCATGCGGACCCTGCCACTGGGGCCTTCGGTGGAGCTCCCTATGGGGCCACGAAACGTGTGAGGGGTGTGCCGAAATGGGTGGTGGGGAGGCATGCGGACCAGCCACTGGGGCCTTCGGTGGAGCTCCCTATGGGGCCACGAAACGTGTGAGGGGTGTGCCGAAATGGGTGGTGGGGAGGCATGCGGACCAGCCACTGGGGCCTTCGGTGGAGCTCCCTATGGGGCCACGAAACGTGTGAGGGGTGTGCCGAAATGGGTGGTGGGGAGCATGCGGACGTGGGGCCTTCGGTGGAGCTCCCTATGGGGCCACGAAACGTGTGAGGGGTGTGCCGAAATGGGTGGTGGGGAGGCATGCGAACCCTGCCACTGGGGCCTTCGGTGGAGCTCCCTATGGGGCCACGAAACGTGTGAGGGGTGTGCCGAATGGGTGGTGGGGAGGCATGCGAACCCTGCCACTGGGGCCTTCGGTGGAGCTCCCTATGGGGCCACGAAACGTGTGAGGGGTGTGCCGAAATGGGTGGTGGGGAGGCATGCGAACGCAGCCACTGGGGCCTTCGGTGGAGCTCCCTATGGGGCCACGAAACGTGTGAGGGGTGTGCCGAAATGGGTGGTGGGGAGGCATGCGAACAGCTCACCACGAAACGTGTGAAGGGTGTGCCGAAATGGGTCATGCGGACCCTGCCACTGGGGCCTTCGGTGGAGCTCCCTATGGGGCCACGAAACGTGTGAGGGGTGTGCCGAAATGGGTGGTGGGGAGGCATGCGGACCCTGCCACTGGGGCCTTCGGTGGAGCTCCCTATGGGGCCACGAAACGTGTGAGGGGTGTGCCGAAATGGGTGGTGGGGAGGCATGCGGACCCTGCCACTGGGGCCTTCGGTGGAGCTCCCTATGGGGCCACGAAACGTGTGAGGGGTGTGCCGAAATCGGTGGTGATAGTGATGATGATGATGATGATGATGATGATGATGATGATGATGATGATGATGATGATGATGATGATGATGATGATGATGATGGAGGAGAGGAGGGGGGGGGGAGGAGGGGGGGGAGGAGGGGGGGGAGGAGGAGGAGATGAGGAACGCGTGGCGCCGTCTCTTCAAAACGAGGACCCAACACCACAGGATGGTTGGGAACTATGGTTATCTTCAGATTTCGCAAGAGTTCGCGCGTAAGCTTTTTTAGCAAATCAGTGTTGCGAAACCCTGTATTGTTGTATGTTTGTTTTGGAAACTCGGTTGCGAAATCCTTCCGACACCGAAGATTGTTGGAGGATTTTGGCATGCGCGCGCGACGACACGCGCGTGCGCATTTCGCCCCATTTGTTGCAAGGGATTCGCGAAAAACTCTCATGTCAGAACAAAAAATGTCCCCGCGTACTGCTTTCTTTTTACCATGGAACCTCAGGGGGACCGATACCGGTTCCCCGGGGATAGTGTAAATTCCTATCTAGGATGGACGTGTTGTCAGAATCATAAATGGTTTACATGCCCGAGAGGGGGACCGATAATGCCGGGGGGGGTAGAGTCCATTCTTTTCCCTAACTAGGCTCCGCCTCTTCGGCCATGCCCACGTCTGGAAGGCCTGGGGCACGGCTCGAGCCCGTCGTCCATCGGCAGCCCCAGCGCAGGCACCGGGTGCTCCAGAGCACGGCCACGGCTGCCAGACTGCCCTCTGTCGCAACGCAGTTTGCCCACGTCGAGTATCAACTGCATCGTAACAATGATCTCAAAAGGGGTGCACGCCTCGTCGTACTCGTGGTCCGACACGCTCCAGCAGCGCAGTACATCCCTGCACCGCACGCGTTGCAGCAGCTAGCATGGCCGCGCTGCATCCGCCCATGATGGTAGGCCAATCGATCCCGCGTACTCGGCCCAGTCCCCCTTGATATGTAGAGAACGCCGGAACGTATCGAGAGCTCGGTGCCTGCGCGCTCTCGTCGGACCTGGTCAGACACAGCCCAAGTTGCGCCATCGTGCCGTGCATCAGGGTGACGTTTATCTGCCATTGCCGTGGACGTTCAGTTTTTCCAAAAAAATATTTAAAACAAAAAAAAAAAAAATGACATCGAGCACCAACTTCTGCAGACGCATCGACGGAGAGACTTCGCGCGACAGTCGGCCACGAGGAACCGCGCCCCCTCAATAAGGCCTGGCTTCTGAATTCGAAAAACTGGCCGTTGAATTCAAAACCTTGCTTCTGAAATCAAAAACCAGTGGTTTGAATTCAAAAAAACAAGTTCTAAAAATTAAAAACAAGCTTTTGAATTCGAAACCAATTCAAAAACGCCGATGGCGCTGCTGGTGTGTGAGTGGGGAACGCCGTCCAGGTAACGACACAGGGGCCGAACGGGGCCCTCGCGAGTGGCATGCCTCCTCACAACAGGGTGCTGCGCATAACACGGGGGGCGCTCGTTGTTGCCCATTGTTTCTCGCAGGGACGACCGTGTGTCCGAGCTCACGCCGACATCAAGCTGTTCATGTTACACAAACGAAGGTGGTTGCCGAACAGTGCGTGGCAACGAATATTTGTCGAAGCACGGCATACTCAATACATACATCTCGCATCGGTTTCGGGTTCTGACGACGTGGGCGTTTATGTTGCGTTGTTCGTTGCCGTTGTGTGAGCTTGGCTTCATTCCTAGGTCGGCGGCCTTCTCAATGCCAGCGTTGTTCGCGTAGTACATAAAAGAGCAAAATTGTGCTGCGTTCAACTCTCGAGACAACAATTCCGCGCAATATTCGATGAATGTGTCAGTTGGATCGCCGTCGTCGTCGATGTCCCCCTCGGGGCTATCCGACATTTGCCCGTCGGCCACCATTGCGTCCAGTCGATCCTCCTATGAGTGCAGCCTCGGCGCGCCTACAGCGCAGCATGGCCGATCTTCCCATGCATGTGCTGGCATACAGGCCACGAACCAGAGCTATATCACATGTGCTGATGCGTGTCACGCTGGAGCCCAAATTGCTACGGAGGGTCGAACGCACGAACGCCAAGGGAAATTGTCTGAAAAGGGGAGGTGGAAAATATATAGGTGGAAGATATATAGCCATACGGAGGAGCGGGGAGGTGGAAGGACAAGAGGGCCTCAAGGGGAACCCAAATGGAGGCACCTTGAAGGGCGGGGGCCTAAGGATGGTGCCGAATCGGGGCCCGAAGGCGAGCCCACAATGAGATCAAAGCGGGGGGACCAATGATCGGGATGAGGGGGGTTGGGTGGGATCGGGCGGGGCGGTTCCACGATTGATGGATAGTGCATGGGCAAGGGTGGCGCACATGGGGACCCAAAACAGAGGCGCTTTGGAGGGCGGGCGCCTTAAGGATGGGGCCCAATGGGGACCTCAAGGTGGGCCCAAAGCGAGTTCAGAGCGGGGGCCCACGGATAATGATGTGGAGGGTGGGCGGGAAAGGGCGGGACGGTACCAATATTGGATGGAAGGGTGGAAGGGCAGAGGGGGAGCTCAACGGGTGACCCAAACGTAGGCGTTTTGAAGGGCGGAGGCTTTGAGGATGGGGCCCACTTGGGACCTGAAGACGAGCCCAAAATGAGTTCATGTTTTCCGCAGTGAGAGACCCCCGGGGCAGCAGCGCGTCCCCGCACGCGCCAACAAAGGTTCTGGGCACCAAATTACAAGGAGGAGGAGGAGGAGGAGGAGGAGGAGAGTTGCGAGGATCTCTCAGGCGAAACGGGCCGGACCACCTCGCGCGCGGCATCCTTGAGCCCTGAGTTGCGAGGGTGTCTCATGCGAAACGGGCAGGACCACCTCTCGCGCGACAGCTCGGAGCCCCGAGTTGCGAGGATGTCTCAGGCGAAACGGGCCGGACCACCTCGCGCGCGGCATCTGAGCCCCGAGTTGCGAGGGTGTCTCATGAGAAACTGGCAGGACCACCTCGCGCGCGGCAGCTCGGAGCCCCGAGTTGCGAGGGTGTCTCATGCGAAACGGGCCAGACCAACTCGCGCTCCACATCTCGGAGCCCCGAGCTTGCGAGGATGTCTCAGGCGAAACGGGCCGGACCACCTCCCGCGCGGCATCCTTGGGCCCTGAGTTGGGAGGATGTCTCATGAGAAACGGGCAGGACCACCTCGCGCGCGGCAGCTCGGAGCCCCGAGTTGCGAGGGTGTCTCATGCGAAACGGGCCGGACCAACTCGCGAACCACATCTCGGAGCCCCGAGTTGCGAGGATGTCTCAGGCGAAACGGGCCGGACCACCTCGCGCGCGGCATCCCTGAGCCCTGAGTTGCGAGGGTGTCTCATGCGAAACGGGCCGGACCAACTCGCGCACCACATCTCGGAGTCCCGAGTTGCGAGGATGTCTCAGGCGAAACGGGCCGGACCACCTCGCGCGCGGCATCCCTGAGCGCTGAGTTTGGAGGGTGTCTCATGCGAAAACGAGCAGGACCACCTCTCGCGCGGCAGCTCGGAGCCCCGAGTTGCGAGGGTGTCTCATGCGAAACGGGCCAGACCACCTCGCGCACCACATCTCGGAGCCCCGAGTTGCGAGGGTATCTCAGCCGAAACGGACCGGACCACCTCGCGCGGCATCTGTGAGCCCCGAGTTGCGAGGGTGTCTCATGCGAAACGAGCAGGACCACCTCGCGCGCGGCAGCTCGAAGCCCCGAGTTGCGAGGGTGTCTCATGCGAAACGGGCCGGACCAACTCGCGCACCACATCTCGGAGCCCCGAGTTGCGAGGGTATCTCAGGCGAAACGGGCAGGACCACCTCGCGCGCGGCAGCTCGCAGCCCCGAGTTGCGAGGGTGTCTCATGCGAAACGGGCCGGACCAACTCGCGCACCACATCTTAGAGTCCCGAGTTGCGAGGATGTCTCAGGCGAAACGGGCCGGACCACCTCGCGCGCGGCACCTCAGAGCTCAGAGTTGCGCGGATGTCTCCAGCGAAACGGGCCGGACCACCTCTCGCGCGGCAGCTCGGAGCTTGGAGTTTCGAGGATGTCTCAGGCTTCACGGCCTGGACCACCTCGCGCGCGGCGTCCCAGAGGCCAGATTTTTGATGTTGTCTCAGGCGACAGCCAATCCCGGCCAACTCAGAAACGAGAATTGTTAGGATGTCTCAAGCGAAACGGCCTGGACCACCAAATTTGTTCGAGGATGTCTCGACTCCGCTTTCCTTCAGCCGGAAACTAGCTTCTACCACAATAGCACCCCGTTCAGCAAGTTGCTTCTGGAAAATCACGTTAAAAAGAGAGAGAGAGAGACGAACAAAAATAGAAAATCTACGACAACACCCACGACGACCATCCTTGGGGGTCCCCAGAGATCCGACGCCGTCACGAGCGCCTGCCACTGCGATTTGTCAGTGGCTCCGACGAGCCGCTTTGTTCAGCGCCGCCCGGTCAGTTCTCTGCCCTGTGGAAGTTCATTCTGTGCTTTAGACGACTGACGGCACCTGATCACGATAGGGCGCGGACCCCGTTTTACGACCCGTACAATGATCGGTCGCGTTCTCGCAGACGCGTCCGCATAACGTCACATCAGGCTAAACTCTTCATGTTACTCGCTCCGCGGTTCACTGCATTCCAGTGGCACCTCATTGCACATTTGCGAACCGCTTCTCTTTTCGATGCCTTCCTCCTTAACTCCGTATCCTCATCCTCCTTGCCCAGACCCCGTCACAGACGATTGTCTCTTGCATCCGTTCAAGCTCCAGGCCGCCTCCAAGAGGCATTCCGTGACAAACGCATCCTGCCGTTGCAGCGCCGTGTTCACGGCAATCCTACAGCTCCCCGGGGCCTCCTGGGTCCCCTTGGGACCCGCGGTCCCCCTCTTGGGACCCGCGGCGCCTCCAGGAGAGGGATGGACGGCGGCGGCGGCGGGCGGGCGGGCGGGCGGAACATTCGGGGCGTCCCCGAGGCGATCATCGCCGCCAGCGGCCTGCCGCTGCCCCCGCGCCTCGGCCGGGGCTGCATGGGTGCAAGCGGCGGAGGAGGAGGGGGAGGAGGAGGAGGAGGAGGAGGAGGAGGAGGAGGAGGAGGAGGAGGAGGAGGGGGAGGAGGAGGACGAGGACGAGGACGAGGACGAGGACGAGGACGAGGACGAGGAGGAGGAGGAGGAGGAGGAGGAGGCGCAGGGAGGAGTCCTCTCCTCCCCGCCTCCGCTCCTCCGCGCCTCCTCCGCGGAGGGAGGGAGGGAGGTGCGGGGGGGAGGGAGGGCGCCGAGGACCAGCACGGGAACGAGGGCGGCGAGGAGGAGCGAGGAGGAGCGATCGGGGAGGGAGCAGGCGTGACTGAGGACGAGGAGGACGACGAGGACAGGCACTGGAGGGAGGAGGGCGAGGGCGGACGGGTGGATCGGCGGAGTGAGAGTAGGAGACGGGCTCTCGGCGGCGGTGGGAGCGGTCCGGGCGCGCGGCCGACGCGTTAGTTTTTTTTGGAGCAGGCGGCGGTGTTGCGCGAGCGTTTGCCGAGAGCGAGAAAGAGACGGGCTCTCGGTGGGCAGATCTTTTCGGGCGCAAGCATGAGCCCGGCTGTTCACAGCAGCGTCGTGTCATATTTCCCCCCGCTCACGGCAGGGATGTGTCTCTGGAAGACACCCTCGCTCTAACAGCCCCGAATGGCCGAGGAACCCCAAAATGTCCTCGAAGAACTTCCAAAACCTTCCAAAAGCGCCACCGGGAGTCTCCCAGGGAGTTCCCAAGACACCCAATAATGACAACCCGCAACAAGTCCCCCAAGGCTCCAGGACGCCTTCCTCGTTAACTGGAAACACACACACACACACACACACACACACACACACACACACACACGCACGCACGCACACACACACACACACACATCGTGGGAACCATCATGACGCATACCTGTTCCCTCCCCCTGTGTTTTTCCTTCCTCTTCCCTGTTGCTGCCTCGCTCTTTACGCTCTTCCCAGCTCCACGTATCTTCCTCGCTTCACCTATGCCCACAATGTGCTCTGAGGTCCGGGTTCGTGGCTCCATCAGGCTCAACACGCTGCAGGTCTGGGGGCCCGAGACTCAGTATCGTTTAACCGACCCCTCTCCCCATCCCCACGCAGACGACCCCCACCATCTCAGCGCCCCAGGTGGTGACATACCCTTCGGAACCCGAAGGGAACGGCCTACATCCCGTCTGGGGGGTACCTCGGCCAGTGGGGCCCAGGCCACGCCGTTGGCGATAGGGGTCGGATCAACGATGCTCAGTCCCAGAGATCCGACGCCGTGATTTTGTCAATGCGCAGTCCCCGGAAGTCTCGACCCATTCCCCGGGACCGGTGTTTCACCCCGAGTCGTCTTCGGACGGTCCCGAGGCCCGGCGAGGGCCCCCAGGGGCCGAGGTTTGCGAAAAACCTCCCGCCCTGTTTTTTTCCGATGCGTTGGATCTCTGGGGAGACGCCCCGCCGCCCGGCCGCCCGCCCTCGCGCATGGGCCGCAGGGGCCGCGACGGCCTGGCCGCCCCCGCGCGGAGCCCGGGCAGGCCAGCGGGCCCGCGCGGCCAGTGGCGGTGGTGCCGGCGCCGGCGGCACTCTGCCGGGGCATGGCGTCGCCGGAGGTCCCCTCGGCGAAGTGCACGCGGCACTCCAGGGATTGGCCCTCGCCTCCCAGACCCCCTGGCGTAACGAAAAAATCACGACGGGAGGTTTCTCCTGATTTTCGGCCTCCGGGGGCCTTCACCGGGCCTCGGGAGCGTCAAAAAACAACTTGGGATGAGAAACCGGTCCTGCGGAAAGGGTCGGGACCTCTGGGGGCCGACGTCATGAAAAAAACACTACCCCAAAAATACCCCAAAATAGTCAAAAATATACTCAAAAAATCGTCCCCTGATTTTTTTGGACTATATTTCAATATTCCCCCTGTAGAGGGACAGGCCCGACTTAAGGCTAAGTACACGCGGCATTCCAGGGATCGGCCCTCGCCTTCGAGGGATCGAGAGGTTGGCGTCTCTTCCTCGGCGGAAGGCGGCAGAAAAGGGCGGCGTCGCCCAAAGGTCCTCGGCACAGCGCGGGCCGGCGTCGCCGGAGGGCCTCTCGGTTGCACCGTGGA